CATTTTCACAATGTTGAGTCTACCTATCCATGAGCATGATGTTTTCCATTTATGTAGATCTATTTTGGTTTCTTGCAGTAGTGTTCTGTAGTTTTCTTTGTATAGGTCTCTTACATCCCTGGTTTGATTTATTCCTAAGTATTTTATTTTTAAGGGGTATTATAAATGGTATTGTTTTCCTGATTTCCTGATTTCGTTCTCTTGGTTAGTGTATGGGAATCCAGCTGATTTTTGTATGTTTATCTTGTATCCTGCTAGTGTGGTGAATCTTTCCATTAGTTCCAGTAGTTTTCTCATGGAGTCTTTTGAGTTTTCTATATATAGTATATCATCTGCAAATGGGGACAGTTTTAACTCTTCCTTAGCAATTTGGATGCCCTTTATTTCTTTTTCTTTCCTAATTACACTAGCTAGGACTCTAGCACAGTGTTAAATGGGAGTGGTGATAAAGGATATCCTTGTCTTGTTCCTGTTCTCAAAGGGAATGTTTTCAGCTTTTCTCCATTAGGAATGATGTTGGCTGTTGGTTTTGTATGGATGCCCTTTATTATGTTGGGGAATTTCTCTTCTATACCTATTTAATTGAGAGTTTTTATCAGAAATGGTTGTTGGACTTTGTCAAATGCCTTTTCTACTTCGATTGAGATGATCATATGATTCTTTTATTTATGTGATTATGTTAATTGATTTTCTAATGTTGAATGGTCCTTGCATACTTAGTATGAATCCTACCTGGTCATGGTGTGTTATTTTTTTTGAAATGGTGCTGAATTCTGTTGGCTAAAATTTTGTTGAGAATTTTTGCATCTATATTCATGAGAGATATTGGTCTGTAATTTTCATTTTTGTGTTGTCTTTGCCTGGTTTTGGTATCAGGGTTGTGCTGGCTTCATGGAATGAATTTGGAAGTATCCTTTCCTTTTCTATATTCTGAAATAATTTGAGTAGTACTGGTGTAAGCTCTTCTCTGAATGTTTGATAGAATTCTCCAGTGAACCCTTCTGCACCAGGGCTTTTTTTGTTGTTGTTGGGAGGTTTTTTATTACCTTTTCAGTCTCTTCTCCTGTTATGGGTCTGTTTGGATTTTCAGCATCCATTTGTGATAGTTTGGGTAGGCAGTGTGTTTCTAGAAATATGTCCGTTTCCTCTAGATTTTCAAATTTGTTGGAGTATAGTTTTTCATAATACTTTGTTATGATCCTTTTTATTTCAGTTGGGTCTATTGTAATGTCCCACATTTCATTACTTATTTGAGTTATTTGCATCCTCTCCTATTTTTCTTTTGTCACATGACTAGAGGTTTGTCGATTTTGTTGATCCTTTCAAAGAACCAACTTTTGATTTTGTTGATTCTTTCTATTTATTTCATTTATTTCTTCTCTCATCTTTATTATTTTCTTCCTTCTGGTGGCTGTGGGCTTCTTTTGCGGTTCTCTTTCTATTTATTTGAGTTGTGTAGCTAATGTTTTGATTTTGTCCCTTCTTTTTTGATGTGTGCATCTATTGCTATAAATGGACCTCTGATCACTGTCATTGCTGTGTCCCAAAGGTTTTGGTATGATGTGTTTTCATTCTCATTTGATTCTAGGAATTTTTTGATTCCATCTCTAATTTCTTCTATTACCCAGTGATGTGTAAGCAGGGTGTTATTTAGTTTCCATGAGTTGATTTTTTTTCCTTGCTCTTTCTGTTGTTAATTTCTACTTTGATGGCGTTGTGATCAGAGAATATACTTTGTATTATCTCAGTGTTTTGGATTTTGTTGAGAGTTGCTTTTGTGGCCTAAGTGTGGTCTATTCTGGAGAACATTCCATGTGCGTTGGAAAAGAATGTGTACTTTGCAGCTGTTGGTGGAGTGTTCTGTATGTCTGTAAGGTCAAGTTGGCTGGTTGTGGCCATTATGTTCTGTATCTTTGTTAGGTTTCTTTCTAGATGTTCTGTTCTTTACCAAGAGTGATGTGTTGAAATATCCTACTATTATAGTGGAACTGTCAGTTTCTCTTTTCAGTGCTGTTAAAGTTTGTTTTATGTATTTTGGAGCCCTGTCATTGGTTGCATAGATATTTATTATGGTTATGTCTTCATGCTTGATTGTCCCTTTAATCATGATATAGTACCCTTCTCTTTTATGGTGGATTTTGTTTTAATGTCTGTTTTATCTGAGATTGGTATTGGCCCCTCCTGCTCTTTTTTTGGTGGCTGTTTGCTTGATATGTTTTTTTCCATCCTTTGATGTTCAGTAAGTTTATGTCTTTTTTTCTAAGGTGTGTCTCTTGTAGACAGCATATGGGTGGATCCTGTCTTTTTTATCCATTGTGTTACTCTGTCTCTTTATGGGCGCATTTAGGCCATTTACATTCAGTGTAATTATTGATAGATGTGGGTTTATTTTTGTCGTTTTGTGGTGCTTTTTTGTAATACTAATGATTTCTTTGTTCCTCTGACTCTCCTGTGCTGAATTTGTTTTTGTAGATTTTATTTTACTGAGACTTTGTTTTTCTTCTTTATTTTGATGAGTA